CGACACAATGCCTGGCTGTTTTTTTGGTTGCAGCCATCATTGTTGTTTGGCGGGCCCGGGCTGGGGATTCGAACCCGCCACCTTAGGTGTATGTGGTTGGCGCCTTAGCCACTTGAGCCACAGGCGCTGAGCCAAAACCCAGAATTACTCTAAAGCTTTTCCCATCATATTTGGAAGCCTCCAGTGCTCTAAGTGCTTTAATCTCTCTGGGCAATTGATGCTGGTAAAGGTATTGCTGAACTTTTTAAAAATATTGAGTTGTATTACTTTTAAATTATGATATTACTAAAATATTAAAAACATCACATGTACCAAAAAAAAATCAGTAAAGCTTGTCTGAAATGGCTATAGCAAATATTTGCTAATTATATGTGGCTAATTCTCCTGTGATATGAAGCATTCCCACTGGCCAATATAAAGAGATGGGCAAATGAGGTCAGCGGCCTCTAAGATGATCTCAATGATCTCAATGAGCAATGCCTCCTAGTGTTCATGCATTTGTGTAATCTCTCCCCTTGGATGTGGGCTGGAAGTTAGTGGAGGCTGAGTAGTTAAAGCTGGAATTTAATCTAAGGCTTTTTCCTTAGTGTCCTGAAGCCTCCCGGGCTTTGAACACGCTAATCTTCTGGTTGCTGGCATTTAAAACTCCTCAGGGTATTGTTCAATTTCTGTTAAAATACACATAACAAAAAAATGTACCATTTTAATCATTTTTAAGAGTACAATTCAGTGGCATTAATTATATTCACATTGGTAAGCAACCACCACTACTTTTTATCTTGAAGAACTGAAACTCCATACCCATTAAATAACTTCCTATTTTCCTCTTTCTCAGCCCCTGCAACCATCACTCTCCTTTCTTTTTTATTTATTTTTTTTGAGACAAAGTCTCACTGTGTTGCCCTCAGTAGAGTACTGTAGCGTCATAGCTCATGGCAACCTCAAACTCTTGGGCTTAAATGATTCTCTTGCCTTAGCCTCCCAAGTGGCTGGGAATACAGGTGCCTGCCAAAATGCCTGGCTATTTTTTGTTGCAGTTGCCATTTGTTGTTTAGCAGGCCTGGGCTGGGTTCCAACCCACCAGCCTCGGTGCATATGGCTGGCTCCGTAACTACTGTGCTACGGGCGAACCGAGCCCATCATTCTCCTTTCTATCTCTATGAATTTGAATACACAAAGTACCTCATATGAGTGAAACCACACAGTTTTTTTTTTTTTTTTGGTCGGGGCTGGGTTTGAACCCACCACCTCTGGTATATGGGGCCGGCCAAAACCATACAGTTTTTGTCCTTCTGTATCAGTCTTCTTTCATTTACTACAATGTTTTCAAGGTTCAGTCATCTTACAGCATGTGGCAGACTTTTCTTCCTTTTTAAGACTTACTAATATTCTACTGTATGGATATGCCATATTTGTTTATCCATTCACCCATTCATGGGCATTTGCATTGTTTCTGCATTTGGGCTATTGTGACTAATGCTGCTGTGAGAATGAGTATGCAAATATATGTTCAAGTCCTTGCTTTTCAGTTCTTTTGGGTATATACTTAAAAGTGGAATTCCTGGGTCATATGGTTATTCTATGCTTAATTTTTTAAGGAACTACCAGAGTGTTTTCCACAGTGGCTGCACCATTTTACATCCCATAAGGGTTCTAATTTATCCACCTCCTCACCCACATTTATTATCCCCCCCCTTTTTTTGACATAGAAATCGCATTTTCTTTTAATTGAATACTTAATTCACACTCTTACTTCTCCTGGCTGCTACTCTGGTGACAACTGGGTTCCCACATCTCAAGAACATTGCATCTGACCAGACTGAATGCCAGTGTGAACATAGGCCCCAAACCAGGGCTTTTGGAATAGCAAGAATAGTAAGAATCAGCCTTTCTCTTCAAAAGAAAGGGATCATGAACGGGAGGGTCCAAATCTCCACCTTCTGAAATTAGAAAACCTAAAAAAGGGAAACCAAAATGTATCAGGAATGAAGTGTAGCAGCCCCTTATATGCTTAAGGTCAAGATGGTTTTTGATTAGTAAGTACCGTGTTTCCCTGAAAATAAGATGCTGTCTTATATTTATTTTTTTCTCAAGAAGACACACTAGGGCTTATTTTCAGGGGATGTCTTATTTTTATTAAGTATAATACAACAATCTACATTTATTCAAATACAGTTAAGTCATCTTCTTCTGGAACCTGACATGGGGAGCGGACCTTGTTGGTGGGGCTGGTGCTGGTGATGCGTGAACTCCTTTCCCCTAGCCGTTTGCACATGTGTAATAGGATGCCTGCAACTGTGGGTTACCACACTCGAACCCACGCAAGTGTGAATGGCTTGGAGAAAGGACTTGTGGCAGATAAAAGGTATTCCAGTCTTCCTTACTGCTCTGCTCAGCACTGAAATGCATGGCGTGGCTATGCAGCATAACCATCACTAGGTCTTATTGTCGGGGTAGGGCTTATATTTAACAAATGCATAGAAATCCTGCTAGGGCTTATTTTTTGGGTATTTCTTATTTTCAGGGAAACATGGTACCTCACCATCTGTAATTAACAACATTATTGAAAAATTTAGTGCTTGCTTTGGCAGCATATATACAGAGAATATTAGCATGACCTTTGCACAAGGATGATGTGCAAATTCTTGAAGTGTTCCATATTTTTTAAAATTAAAAAAAAATTAGGGCGGTGCCTGTGGCTCAAAGGAGTAGGATGCCGGCCCCATATGCCGGAGGTGGTGGGTTGAAACCCAGCCCCAGCCAAAAACTGCAAAAAAATAAAAAAATAAAAATAAATAAAATTAAGTAGGTCAGGTACAGTGGCTCACAACTGCAATGCCAGCATTCTGGGAGGCTTAGTCCAGTGGATTGCCTGAGCTCAAGAGTTCAAGACCAGCCTGAGCAAGGGTGAGACCCCCCTCTCCAAAAATAAGCCAGGCATTGTGGTGGGTACCTGTAGTCCCAGCTACTTGGGAGGCTGAGGCAAGAGAATCTCTTAAGTCCAAGAGTTTGGGGTTGCTGTGGGGTGTGATATCACAGCACTCTTCCAAGGGTGACAAGGTGAGACTCTGTCTCAAGAAAAAAATTAAAAGGTTTGGCTCCTGTAGCACGGTGGTTATGGTGTTAGCCACATATACTAAGGCCAGTGGGTTTGAACCCAGCCCTGGCCAGCTAAGCAACAATGACAACTGCAACAAAAAATAGCCTGGTATTGTGGTGGGTGCCTGTAGTCCCAGCTACTTGGGATGTTGAGGCAAGAGAATCACTTAAGCCCAAGAGGCCTATGAGCTGTGATGCCATGGCACTCTACCCAGGGCGCCAGCTTGAAATTCTGTCTCAAAAAAAAAAATAAAAAAATTAAGATATGGTATATAGTGGAAAAAAGGCAAATGTTATATGAAAAGTAGAGAAAATGTTTGAAAGCTGTAAGAAGCTTACATTTGTGATACGTTAGATGGACTTACCAAGATAGGTGGGTCAATGATGGCAACAGAAAATTCACTTCAGCCAGGTGCAATGGCTCCCACCTGTAATCCTAGCACTCTGAGAGGAGGGTGGATTGCCCTGAGTTCACAGCCTGAGCAAGAGCTAGACCCCATCTCTAAAAATAGCAGGGACTTGTGGTGGGCCAGCTACTCCGGAGGTTGAGGTGAGAGAATCGTTTGAGCCCAAGAGTTGGAGGTTGCTGTGAGCTATAATGTCATAGCACTCTACCAAGGGTGACAAAGGGAATTCTGTCTCAATTAAAAAAAAAAAAGAAAATTCACTTCATGAGCAGTATTTATGCCCAGTAAACACTAGTTAATAAAATGCCAGTGAAAATCAGTGATATTTTACTAAGTGAAATAGGCAAATTTTAGAAGCATTTTCATAACATGATAATTTTGAAGAATATGTATATTTTTGAACATTTTATGTATTTTTCTTTATACATAGCTATACATTAATAAATTACATGCAGATAAACACATCTGGAGAACATGTACCTATTTTCACTGAATATCTTTGGGTCAGGGCATGAGAGTCGGGCAGATTAAACAGGATATAAAGGTTATATACACATACTATTTTATTTTATTTATTTTTTTGAGACAGAGTCTCACTATGTCACCCTGGGTAGAGTGAGTGGCGTCACAGCTCCCAGCAACCTAAAGCAATTGAGCTTAAGCAATTCTCTTGCCTCAACCTCCAAAGTACCTGGGACTACAGGCGCCCACGACGACGCCTGTTATTTTTTTTTGTTGCAGTTGTCCTTGTTGTTTAGCTGGCCCGGGCTGGGCTCGAATCCGCCAGCCTTGGCGTATGTGGCTGGCACCCTACCCGCTGAGCTACAGGTGCCGCCCCATTTTGTTTTGTTTTAGATTTTGTAATCAGGAAAATTTATTAAGATAAATATTTTAAAAAGCAAAAATACATAACTCAACTAGCAAACATTAGGTACATATACAGGATGTCCATAAAATTCATGTGCATTGCACTCGAAATTTATGGACACCCTGTATATTATGATTTGGAAATATGTCCACAATACACTGGTTTCTTTGAGAAAAAGCAGATGAAATCTATTGAGTTGACTGTCTGTTTATGTGTGTTTCTGTCTCAGATTTCTTCACCCCAAATAATCACACACGTACGCAGTTTTCTCTTGAGCTCAGGCAGGAAATGGATATCTAGTTTTAGGGCTTAGAGACCACAGAAAGTCCTATATTCAGAAGATTACTGACAGTGGGTGGTAAATTCCAGAAAGATCTGGCTGACGTCAAGAAATCCAAGTCCCTCCCTCATTCCCTCCTCCCCTTGCAAAGCCTCCAGAGACTTTCAGAATTGCAACTCTGATTCTGGTCACTAGGTGGCATCTGCCTCCACTTTCTCTTGATCTTTTTAGTGAAAAAATATACTTTTTAGAAAAAAACAAGATGGCTCGGCGCCTATAGCTCAACCGGCTAAGGCGCCAGCCACGTACACCTAAGGTGGCGGGTTC